CAAAGTAAAACAAACTCAAAGATATACATGATTACTTCTTAGACTCCACTGAAAATTGCTTCAAAAGATGCCAATGGGAAAGAAGACTTCTGTTTTTTAAACGCATGGGTCTTTGATTTCAGGGATATCATGCCTAATGAAAGATACTTTTTTTCCTTTTTACCTCCATCACTGCTGGACTGATCGCAGTACACGTCGATCACTTGAGAGTTGTTGAAATGGATTTTGTAGACGCCGCTCTTGGTGAAGCCAGCGTCTAACAGCTCTTTGCAGCTCTTGGCCTCTAAATTAAAAAGTTGACATGAAATAAAATTGCTGAGATGAATTTTAGAGCCCTTCAAATAATCAAGAGAGTCTGGGCACAAGGTTTCCTTTCTACACCCGTAAAACAATTATTCTTTTTTTTTTTATCATTCTCTTTAATTTCGTCCCGAGAGAAAACAGGATAAATTTGACTGCTCACTTTTAACAGGTAGTGCACTAAGCAGTTGCGCTGGACTCGAACCCGGGCTAGTTCATTTATTGAACTTTGTTCTTTGAGGTATCACAATTTACTCCAATGGTTTTCCTATCCGTCTTGGACACGCCAGCAGTAGAAGTAGCTACATCAGAGGAAGAAATAATATCTCAGCAATGTCTGGTTTACCTGAAAAAATGCAGGCATACACATACTTACTTATCTCACATCGCCTCCCATAGATACCTGTTGGGCACGCGCATTTGAAGTCGTATGCCATCTTAACTGGGTGACAGGTCCCTCCGTTCTCGCACGGATCGAGCTTACAAGGGGCCTAGGGAGAACCAATAATCCAACGTGTAAGGGAGACAGGAAGTCTAAGTCCCGAGGGGTTCAGAATAGTTGTAGCACCATTGCAAAGCTAGGCAAGCGGAAAGCGAAACAATTTCGTGAAGGACATATCAACACTTAAATGTCGTAGCCTGATCTTAGTTACGCTTATAATTTGGATATATCAACAAAGTTGAAATGGTAAATTGGCCACCGTAACGATTACAAAAGCTGACGTTTCGAGCGTTAGCCCTTCGTCGGAGCGAA